GAGAAGGAACTGAGGGAGAGTTGGTTGCACACCACTATGTAACCGCCTGAGGCGGTGCAGGACAGGGACAGCACATGTGCGACCCAACCAGGCACTACTAAAAATCTTCAATTACAAGTGCAGGGGCACAGATTCACCTAAAGTGGAGCAACCACAGGGACACTCCTCAAAGAAGACTCCTCTTTATATAGGCATCTGCTCTCTTTCATGCCTGGATGTGAAGAGGAGCACCATGGAAATAGAAAGGGACATGAAAATGTGGCATCCTGGCAGTTTCCACAGGTTTTGTGGATCTAGAGCCAAGAGAATTATTAAAGAATTAGAAAACATACCGTACAGTGACAGACTCAAGGAGCTCAATCTATTTAGCTTAACAAAGAGAAGGTTAAAAGGTAACTTGATTGATTTAACTCTGCACCTGTCCACACAACGAAGCCATTTTTTTTTTTTTTTTTTTTTTTTACTTAAAAGGCTCTTAAAATCGATTTCTGTACTCCTCCCCGTCGAGGGGATTAGTGCTGAAATCGACATCGCCGGGTCGAATTTGGAGTAGTGTGGATGCAATTTGACGGTATTGGCCTCCAGGAGCTATCCCAGAGTGCTCCATTGTGACTGCTCTGGACAGCGCTCTCAACTCGGATGCACTGGCCAGGTACACAGGAAAAGCACTGAGAACTTTTGAATTACATTTCCTGTTTGGCCAGCATGGTGAGCTCATCAGCAGAGGTGACCATGCAGAGCTCATCAGCAGAGGTGACCATGCAGTCCCAGAATCACAAAAGAGCTCCAGCATGGACTGAACAGGAGACACTGGATCTGATCGCTGTATGGGGAGACGAATCCGTGCTATCAGAACTCTGTTCCAAAAAACAAAATGCCAAAATATTTGAAAAAATCTCCAAGGGCATGATGGATAGAGGCTATAACAGAGACCCGCAGCAGTGCCGCATGAAAATTAAGGAGTTCAAGCAAATCTACCAAAAAACCAAAGAGGCAAATGGCCACTCCGGGTCAGAGCCCCAGACATGCCGCTTCTATGATAAGCTGCACGCAATTCTAGGGGGTGCCCCTACCACTACCCCACCCCTGTACATGAATTCCTGCAAGGGGGAAGTCTCACACAACAGGGATGAGGATTTTGGGGATGAGGAAGATGATGAGGAGACGGAGGATGAAACCATTCTCCCCGATAGCCAGGAACTGTTCATCACCCTGGAGCCAATACCCTCCCAACCCAGGCTCCCAGACCATGAAGCCGGAGAAGGCACCTCTGGTGAGTGTACCTTTTTAAATAGAATACATGGTTTAAAAGCAAGCGTGTTTAATGATTAATCTGCCCTGAAGACTTGGGATGCATTCACAACCAGTACTTCTACTAGAAAAGTCTGTTAATGTGTCTGGGGATGGAGCGGAAATCCTCCAGGGACATCTCCATGAAGCTCTCCTGGAGGTACTCCCAAAGCCTTTGCAAAAGGTTTCTGGGGAGGGCAGCCTTATTCCGTCCTCCATGGTAGGACACTTTACCACGCCAGGCCAGTAGCACGGAGTCTGGAATCATTGCATAACAAAGCATGGCAGCGTATGGTCCCAGTGTTTGCTGGCATTCAAGCAACATCCGTTCTTTATCTCTCTGCGTTATCCTCAGAAGAGTGATATCATTCATGGTCACCTGGTCGAAATAGAGGAATTTTATTAAGGGGATATCCAGAGGTGGCCGTTCCTGCTGGGCTGTTTGCCTGTGGCTGAAAAGAAATCATCCCCACTGTTAGCCACACGGTGGGGGGAGGAGTGAAGCGATCATCCCAGAGAATTGGCGGGGGAGGGGGGTATTAGTTGGGTTTGTGCTGCACGTTAACCTGAAAACCGCAGCCCCTCCTTTTAAATGGCCAACCCATTTTAAATGGCCAACCCAACGGGTGCTTGGTATGGGAAATGAGGGCGCTGCTGTTTGAAACCATTCCCACATGTTATGAAGGTTGAAGAAGCCAAAAGACTGTGGCTTACCATGGCTGCCTGCAAGCTGAATTCTATTGCCCGGCCCTGCGTGTGTGATTTCACACCAAACCAGCAGGCCCTCAATATGAGAGGCAAAATGTGACCTTGTACCGAAAGCACGTGCTATGTAATGTTAACAGCTTGGTTCACCGTGAAAGAATCTACCCACTGTTTTCTAAAATGTGTCTTTTTAAATACTACTCTCCCTTTTTTTCCTCCTGCAGCTGCAAATGTTTCAACACTCCCGCTATCATCTCCGTCCCAGAGGCTAGCGCAGATAAGAAGGCGAAAAAAAAGCAGTCACAATGAAATGTTCTCGGAGCTCATGCAGTCCTCCCACACTGAAGGAGCTCAGCAGAATGCGTGGAGGCAAACAATGGCAGAGTCCAGGAAAGCAGAAAATGAACAAGAGCACAGGAGGGATGAGCAAGAGGAGTGGTGGCGTCAGCATGATGAGAGGAGGCAGGATGAAATCCTGAGGCTACCAGAGGATCAAACTGATATGCTCTGGCGTATGGCTGTATTGCAGAAAAGGCAGCAGGAGCACAGACTGCCGCTGCAGCCCCCGTGTAACCGCCCGACCTCCTCCCCAGGTTCCATAGCCTCCTCACCCAGACGCCCAAGAACACTGGGGGGAGCAGCAGGGGGCCTTCCAGGCACCCAGCCACTCCACCCCAGAGGACTGCCCAAGCAACAGAAGGCTGGCATTCAATACGTTTTGAAGTGCAGTGTGGCCTTGTCCTTCCCTCCTTCCCTACCCCTCCCGGGCTACCTTGGCAGTTATCCCCCTGTTTGTGTGATGAATTAATAAAGAATGCATGAATTTGAAACAACAATGAATTTATTGCCTCTGCAAGCGGTGATCGAAGGGAGGAGGTCGGCTGGCTTACAGGGGAGTAGAGTGAACCAAGGAGGCGGGTTTTCATCAAGGAGAAACAAACAGAAATGTCACACCGTCGCCTAGCCAGTCATTAAACTGGTTTTCAAAGCTTCTCTGATGTGCAGCACTCCCTGCTGTGCTCTTCTAACCGCCCTGGTGTCTGGCTGTGCGTAATCAGCGGCCAGGCAATTTGCCTCAACCTCCCACCCCGCCATAAATGTCTCCCCCTTATTCTCACAGATATTGTGGAGCACACAGCAAGCAGCAATAACAATGGGAATATTGGTTTCGCTGAGGTCTGAGTCAGTAAACTGCGCCAGTGCGCTTTTAAACGTCCAAATGCACATTCTACCACCATTCTGCACTTGCTCAGCCTATAGTTGAACAGCTCCTGACTGCTGTCCAGGGTGCCTGTGTACGGCTTCATGAGCCATGGCATTAAGGGGTAGGCTAGGTCCCCAAGGATAACTATAGGCATTTCAACATCACCAACAGTTATTTTCTGGTCTGGGAAGTCCCTTCCTGCAGCTGTTCAAACAGACCAGAGTTCCTAAAGATGTGAGCGTCATGTACCTTTCCCGGCAATCCCATGTTGATGTTGGTGAAACGTCCATTGTGATCCACCAGTGCTTGCAGCACCACTGAAAAAGTTCCCCTTGCAGTTTATGAACTGGTTGCCAAGATGGTCTGGTCCCAAGATAGGGATATGCGTTCCGTCTATCGCTCCACCAGAGTTAGGGAACCCCATTGCAGCAAAGCCATCCATTATGACCTGCACATTTCCCAGAATCACTACCCTTGATAGCAGCAGCTCAGTGATTGCATTGGCTACTTGGATCACAGCAGCCCCCACAGTAGATTTGCGCACTCCAAATTGATTCCTGACTGACCAGTAGCTGTCTGGCGTTGCAAACTTCCAGAGGGTTATCGCCACTCGCTTGTGAACTGTGAGGGCTGCTCTCATCTCGGTATTCTTGCGCTTCAGGGCAGGGGAAAGCAAGTCACAAAGTTCCATGAAAGTGCCCTTACGCATGCGAAAGTTTTGCAGTCACTGGGAATCATCCCAGACCTGCAACACTATGCGGTCCCACCAGTCTGTACTTGTTTCCTGGGCCCAGAATCAGCATTCCATGGCTTGAGCCTGCCCCATTGCCACCAGGATGTCCAAATTGCCAGGGCCCATACTTTGAGAGAAGTCTGTGTCCATGTCCTCATCATTCTCATCACCGTGCTGCCATCGCCTCCTCGCCTGCTTTTGCAGGTTCTGGTTCTGCACATAGTGCAGGATAACGCACAAGGTGTTTACAATGCTCATAACTGCCATGGTGATCTGAGCGGGCTCCACGCTTGCCGTGGTATGGCGTCTGCAGGAGAGCAGAGTTGCAGCGGAACGGGTGGATGACTATGGTTTGCAGTCCTACTGCACCGTCTGCTGAAAGCAGTGTGGCGCCCGCATGGAAAAAAGGTGCGAAAAGATTGTCTGCCATTGCTTTCATGGAGGGAGGGGTGACTGACAACATGTACCCAAAACCACCCGCGACAATGTTTTTGCCCCATCAGACATTGGGAGCTTAACCCAGAATTCCAATGGGTGGCGGAGACTGCGGGAACTGTGGGATAGCTACCCACAGTGCAATGCTCCGAAAGTCGACGCTAGCCATGGTACTGTGGACGCTCTCCACTGACTTAATGCGCTTAGTGGGGATACACACAATCGACTGTATAAAATCACTTCTATAAAAATCGACTTCTATAAATTCGACCTAATTTCGTAGTGTCGACATACCCTTTTGATAATGGGCTCTTCAGTCTAGCAAAGAAAGGTATAACATGATCAAATGGCTGGAATTTGGAGGTAGACAAATTTAGACTGGAAATAAGATCAATTTTTAACAGCGATGGTAATTAACCACTGGAAAAATTTATCAAGGTTCATGGTGGATTCTCCATCACAAAACATTTTTAAATCAAGACTGGATGTTCTTCTAAGAACTATGCTCTAGGAATTATTTTGGGATAGTTCAATAACCTGTGTTATGGTCAGACTGGATTATCACAATGGTCCCTTCTGGGCTTAAAATCTATAAGATCTTTTCTTAAAAACAGCAAAGCAAGATATAAAAACCTTTTTGGGAACTGCTCTTATTTCCAGACACCAGGTAAGAATAAATTCCACAGTACTTCCTTTAGGTATATGCTCTGGAGCTGCTCCTGTGGAGTGGAGAAATGGAAATTAAATTAGTTAAAGCCAGCAATAAATTTCACAATGCATTTGTTCTTTAAAGAAATATCAGAGTTAAACTGAACTTCATATTCTGAATTACTGGCATTTTTATAGCTAGACAATATTCTCTAGTGAAGAACCTACCATAGAACTCAAGCTTACTGAAAAGGTGTGAAATAAAATAATAGGGTTTGTTAAACACACATTACTATATGCTTTACTGCTGAATTTTCAAGGCCTTATTGCCACCTCCAATGTGATGGAAAAATCTCCATGGAGAGAGGCTCTCCAAAGTTTTCCCCTATGCTCTCCATTACAATGGGAGGGTTTGGGAGGTCTATGGATTGTGGAAGCTGCAACTTTGCCACACCCCACTGACCTCTAAGGCTACATCTTTACTGCAATTAGCTCAAGTTAACTCCTCTCAAGTTAACCTAGTTACAGTGAGAGCAGCCACACTGCAAAACAACACTAAAGCTGCACAGAATGACTGCTCATCAGCTGCTAATATAGTGTGAAGTCTTACCCTCAACTCAATAAGAAAAGGAGTACTTGTGGCACCTTAGAGACTAACCAATTTATTTGAGCATAAGCTTTCGTGAGCTACAGCTCACTACACAGCTGTTACTCTGAAACCTCAACTCAATGGGATTTCTCTTGAGGGGAAGGCAGGATTAGGGAGGAGAAATAGAGCAGACACACAGACCCCCTTCTCAGCCTAGTTCGCTTCCTGAAGCAACATCTGCTGCAAATGTCTCAGGAGGAGGAGCAGAGCTGAGGAGACAATCTCCTCCTTTGGACCTGGCTGGGAATTAGACAGACACATTCCCGAGCCCATTAGTCTAAACATTTGAAATAAAGTTTGGCATTTCCCTCGGAAAAGACCTGTAGCTGCAAGGTCTGGCTGAGCCACTGGCCAGTTATAGGCAGAACAATCTTGAGGAAACTTTAGAGAGTGGGGCAAACTTCTGCTGCCAGTGACTGATGGGTCTGGTACTGCCCCCAAGATGCAAACAGCATAAAGCATCAACTGTAACAAATTTGTGGCCCTTAGCACACAGAATGGAAAATTTCTTAACAATAATTTCTGCTAGCAGCATATTCCACAGTTCTGGACATCTAGGCTGCTCCCTGCAGCTCAAGGAGGCGGATCAGTGTTTTGGCACCATATGCTCTGGCCACACCTCCTCTGCTCCCACTATTCCCCAGCTATAAAATTTATATAACACCAACAACAGATATGCCAGAGATAATGAAATAACTATGTACATTAGACCAAAGAAGACAGTCATATGGTAACGATTCTATTTAGTATCTGACTCTTAAGTCATGAGCCATCCAGGGTGGGTAGAACTGTGGAAGATGCTGCAAGCAGAATGAACATTATCAGTAAGAAATCTTCTGTTCTACAGCACAGCGTCTCCCACAATTCTGAATGTCTGGGAAGTAGTGACCAGTGAAGAGATGTAGGGAGGATTATGAAACAAAAGTCTGGTAGAAAAGAAGTATCCCCCTTTTTGTGAGCTTTCTCAAAAGTCTATTTCTGGGCCACTGCCTGCAGCATCTACCTGCCAAAGGAAGTCTCTGCGAAGATAAAAGGTCCACCTTGTAGTGTTTAATGAAGGTGTTATAATTGTAGACCAAGTGACACTCTGTACATCAAAGTAGCACCCTGGAACCCCCATATTCACCACTGTGATTTGATTATATGTTTTATACAAAGTATGCCTTGCGAGGTACCATTTTGTAAGTTTTGATCTGATCTGTTGGATAGTATGTACTATATAGCACTGTATGTGAAGTTATGAAGTATTACTATTTGTGTTACCGAAATATGTTGAGAGGTTGGAAACACCCACAACGAGCCTTTCAGTTACAACAAAGGAGTAGTCATCGATAGCCAGACAGTTGTTATTGGCTCATCAACACACAATCCACTATCCCAGAGGCTTCTAGAGAAGGCACATGCACAATACTGTTTGACCAATGGGAACTGCCTGACCTCCACATAACTGCAAGGATCTTTCTAGTAGCTGGAAGAAGGGATAAAAAGAGAGACGGTGACAATCACTGGGTCTCTCCCCCGGCCCCACAATCTCAATAGCTGGAAGAAGGTCTGAAAGACAAAGAATTTGAACTAGGGAAGTTTGGTCCCAGGTTGGAAGGTATTCCCAGCCTTCGTGTTGAGGAACTATAGCCTGTTTGTACCATCTGTCCAGGTGAGAAAAGGTGTTTGATTCAACTCTTGCTTAGACTAAAAGTTTAGGATTTAGAATGCATGTTTACTTTTTATTTTCTTAAGGTAACTCTCTCTGACCTTTATGCCTACCACTTATAATCATTTAATTTTTTTTGTAGTTAATAAACTTACTTTAATGTTTTATGCTTACCAGTGAGAGAGTTTGTCTAAAGTGCTTGGGAAACCTGAGCTCAGGTTACAAAGGCTGGTGCACATCCACTTTCCTTTGACAAAATGGCAAACTAGGTAATAAACTTACACTGGCCAGACTTCTGACCAGTGCAAGACGGTACAGTTCTGGGGTGCAAGACTGGGGAGAATTGGCTGAAGCCTCCCTATTGATAGTTCATGAGTGGCTGGGAAATCATTCATGAAACTCAGTTGGGTGCGTCCCTGAATGTGTGAGTGCAGTGCCTATCAGAGGCTTGGAGCTTGACATCAGCATCACAGTGTGAGAGGCCACCCAGGTTGGTTGGTTGGGAGGGCTCAGTGGTCCCACAGTCCAGGATGCTCACCGGGAACCCCGTCAGAGCTGCTCCTCAAATTTCTGAAGTGGACACATTTGGTCATTCTGCCATGAGGTTGCTAAGGAACTCATGAAGTGAGCCTTGATCCCTTCCGGGACAGGAATCTCTGAAGATCTGTAGGCTTCCAGAATACATATTCTAATCCACCTAGCAATGGAGAACTTGAAAGCTCTGAATCCCTGGCATTTCAGGTGGAAGAACACAAATAGGGAGCCCAATATTCTTGTGGAGTCTGTTCACTTGAGATAGGTTTTCAACACTCCTCTGATCTCTAAGGTGTGCCACACCTGTTCAGTTGGATATTGTGTTTTGGACAGAATAAAAGAACCACAACTTGTTGGAAAGTATGGAAGGAGGAATTTACTTTAGGAAGACAGAATTCTGGTGCCCTTAGCTCCACCTGATCCTCGTGTAACACAAAATAAAGCTCCTGTATAGATAAGGCTGCCAATTTCAACACTCGCCTGGCAGATGTGACAGCTACTAAGAAACAAGTGTTAATAGATAAATAAAAGGCCAACACTGAAGTCAGAGTCTCAAAATGAGTGGAAGGTGCCATTTTGGGAATAGCTGCCTGACTGATGGTGTGGCTTATTGGACTGCTCAAAACAATGTGGCTATTTGTGGACTGTGTGCCAGGGAGTCTGAGGATTTTGCAAATAGCCTGCTACCTAAGAGCAGACATTTGGTATGCAATGGTACTGGACTGACGGCCTCTGTCCATGCCGTCTTGGAACAAGTCCAGAATGGTTGAAATCTGTGTTCCCTGTAAGCTACGTGGTTGGGCAGCCACCCAGGAGAGATTCAAGTGCCACCCAGTTGATTAGCAGAGTGCGCTTATCCAGCAGTGTGCGTTCAGGTGTCCCTCCCCTGCGCTGCTTTGCAGCCTCATTGCTGTATTGCAGCTGCTCCCAGAACCCTCCTGCTGGCTGTACAGAGCAAGGGGGGGGGACGCTGACGTCAGGGTGTCCCTCTCCCCTGCCCCTGTCCCCCATCTCCGCAGAGCAGGGGAGAAGGGACAGCCTGGGTAAGGATGACTCAGAGCTGCTGCAGTCTGAAGGGTGAGTGATTGAGTGCCTTTCTTAAAACAGACAGCGCCCGGTTTCTGAGACTTCCCCAGCAGCCAGCTCAGACAGTCTTTGTCTCTCTCACTCATACTCTCTCTCCCCCCCCTCCCCCATGCCCATGTACCCCTTCTCTGCAGAGCGGGGGATGGGAGACAACAGGGCTCAGGACAGAGCAGGAGGTGCCTTTCACTGAGTGCCTTAAAGAGACAGCACATGACATTTCTCAGAAACTTCCCCAGCAGTCAGCACGCGCACTGTCTCCAAGTTGCGCAAACAGTCTCTTTCACACTCATCTCCAAAAACATACTTGTATTATTATTGTTGTTACTTCTTGGTACTTCTTGCAATACAGATATATTCTCTGTAATTTTAGTGTTTTGACTGGTCTATGAATTTCATTATTTTCATTTCTCTTACACTTAAATTTAATTCTTTGAGTAGTGAGTTCTAAAATGCCTAACCTGTCCCGACTGAAGTAATTATCCCTATGGTAACTTTTTAAAAATATATATTATATCTAGGTTTGTTTCTACTGGTGGCGCACATACTTCTGTGCGCATAAAATTTATTCCGCACATGGATGGAGAAAATTAGAGGGAACGCTGGTTGGAATTCCTGGAATTTCCATTGAGCTTTTGGCAATAGTCATTGAATCTGGACAAGATACTTTTAATGTTGATACTCTCCTAGCTGTAATCAACATCTTAATGACTCCTGAGGACAGACCAAGACCTTCTAGTGCTTCCCTCGCAATAACCAGACTGTTTGTTGTAGCCGTTTTGGGTCCAGATAAGGAAGAGGACTTTGCGAGAGGATGCCTGGTATCCATGGAAACTGGAGTACAGACTCCAGTGTCAGCCCCGTTAGGTCTAAGAATCAAGGTCTTCTCAGCCAATGAGGAGTTATCAGTATCACCTGTTGTCTGTTCTCATTTTATTTTTCAGTAGTGAAAAGGGTGGAAACTTGTAAGGTATGCCCTGCAGCCACCTGTGCGATAAGGCATCTGTCCCCATAGATCTGGAGTCTACCTCCCTTATGAGGAATTTTGGCCTATTTACATTTGTACAATTCATGGACAGGTCAGTCAAAGAGAGGTGAAACATCTGAATGATGAGATTGAGGAGACTGAAAACCTCCTGATTCTGACCCCACTA